CGCGCCCTCGGAGGCCCCTGTCCCGCGTGCCCGCGTGTCCGTCGGCGGGACAAGGCGGCAGCCACGTGGCGGGCGTTCTCCACTCATCGGGCACAAAATCTGCCGCTCTGGGTTTTTGACAAAAATACGTTTGTAGCCCATAAGAGGCAAAAATGCCGAGCAGGGGAAGGCGCGACGACGTGCCCGGGACTCTGGCAGCGTCCCCGACCTCCGCCGACCCGGCTGCACGGGGGCCCCAAGCGCAGAGGCACCTGGACACAACAGCCCCCTCGCGGGTCCGGCCAGCTCCCCAGAGATGACGACAAGGTGAGCGGCCGCTGGGCCAGGCCCTCTGCGGGCCTGGAGGCCGGGCGCGGGCGCGGGGGCCTCTCCGGCCGTCTGTGCCCCGCCTCCGGGCCCTTGCCTAGGGAAGCGTAAAATGCGTGGCCCCCTCCCCGGGGACCCAGTGCACTGTGCATCGCCAGTCACTGACAGGGACCAGGATGACGGCAGGTGGAGCCCTTACACTCCAGGAGCATCCGTCCCACAGGGGAGTGAGGGGCTGGCACCCCGACACACATGTGGGCCAGAGGTAAGCCTGAGCCGGGTCGGTGGACAGACGGAGGCGCACAGGGCGGCCTCGCGTGGGGGCCACACAAGCCGGGTCCTATGGCAGGACGGTGACCGCGGTGAGACGATGGGGCCAGGCGTAAGTGGCAGGTGGGAGGGGCCGAGGGCGGCCTGCAGACCACGTGATGGCAAGACCAGCGTTCACACACCCTCCCATTTTTACGTTGCCACCGAGCACCCGGGGCTGAGGGACAGCGGCAGACAAGATCGCGTTTGCCTGGGCGAATCTCCGTCCGTGTGGATTGTTATCGTTTTCAGCTGAATCTCATCATGTAGGTTTGGATGTCGGAGTCTGGCTCTCACAATGTTTACTTGCAAATCCAAGCCAAGGTTAAACAAAAGGCCTTCATTAAACTTTCGCTTGGCCGCAGCTCCACACCCTGACAGAAGCACAGAAAAATCTGCAGCAGGAACCACCCCGAGCGCTTCCTGCGAACGCCCCAGCTGGCCCGCAGGCAGGGCCGAAGCCGGCCCCGCGGCCCACCACATACGACGCCACGTGAAAGATCCCCGGCTCCTGAGTGCGAGACGACGAAACCTTAATCAGAAACAGAGGGGAAGGCTTTGTGATGCTGGACTGGGCGATGCGTTCTCAGATCCGACGCCACAAGCACAAACAAAAGAGAAGAAACAGACAGATTAGATGACATCGAGACTGAAAACGCTCGTTCACCGAAGCACACGATCGTCAGAGTAAACAGGCAAACCGCAGAATGAGAGAAAACATGTGCATGGGGCTAATATCCAGACGACACGAAGATCTCCTCAAATTCAACAACAACAACGAACAAACCGCAAGGCACCATGATTTAAGTGCGCAAAGAACTTGAATAGAAATTTCTGCAGAGAAGATATACAAGTGGGCAATAAACACATGGACAGATGCTCAGCATCCCTGATCATTAGGGAGACGCACATCGAAACCATGACGAGACAGCACCTCGCACCGGTCGGGACGGCCGGCCACTGTTGAAGCCACCACGACCATGAACAAGCAAAAACAGACGGAAACGCGGCCAGCGCTGGCCAGGACGTTGGCGGGACGGGAGCTCGTGCCCGCGCGTGGCAATGCCGCACGGTGCAGCCGCCAGGAAAGGCAGGGCGGAGGCTCTTTGAGAAAGTGAACAGAATCACCGCGTCACCCAGCGATGACACGTCTGGGGGCACACCCCAAAGACGTGAAAGCAATGTGCACACCCACGTTCGCAGCAGCACTACTCACGAGAGCCTCGGAGTGGAAGGGAACGGCCCCAAGGCCCACCGACGGATGAAGGGACACGCGGAGCGTGGGCCACCCGCACCGCGGACGCGCGCTCCCCCCGACGGGATGGGTGTTCTGGCACCTGCTACGACGTGGCCCACCCCTGAAGGTGTTAGGCTGAGCGAAACAGCCGGTCGCAGAAGGACAAATGCTGAGTGGTTCCACTCAGGCGAGGTACCGAAAACAGTCCCGTTCACGGGACAGACAGTAGGACGGTGGCCGCGGGGGCCGAGGGGAAGGGAGGCTGTCTGATGGGGACGGTTTCGGGTCGGGAAGGTGAGAAAACCCTGGGGGACGGTGGCGGGGCGGTCACACGGCTGTGCGGACGTGCTCACTGGTGCCGAGCTCTTCCCGTCGGCATGGCCGAAATGACGGACCACTACTCTCGTGAGCAGTGCTGTTATGAACGTGGGTGTGCAAATGTCTGTTATATATACTTCGGCACAATTTAAAAAATCAAGAGCCTCGGTATAACTACATTATAGTTTCCTAATAAAAATGTGAAGCTTTACAGCTCATTAAATTCTTCAGAGATGTACCAAAGTTAGCCTGACACTATGCTGCACCGACGCGACAAAAATATTCATAGAAATAATGCCCTCCGTCGGCCTCTTTGTATTAGTTTTCTTCAAAGTGAAGTCGAGACGTCGCCTGTTATTTCTGTGAGAGTTGTGATTTTAAGCTGAGAGGCGTTAAATAAAGTTTGAAAACAGTATTGGAGTGTGTGAGTGGACTTGATTTGTTATAAGCTTAATTTATTAGATAAATAAAAGTAATTTAAGTGTTTGAGAAGTTTGGTTTGTGCTGCTAATACCTCAGCGGTATTTGAAATGCTCAAAGAGAAAAGTGAACACATTGAATTATAATTGAACTTAAAACATTTAAAGGAACTTCACTTTAAGACAAAGCCGATGCCCAAGGGTCAAGGTAAGGAAGGCGCCGGCCTGGGGGTGGGGAACGGGGAGCCTTGACCTTTCCCGTCAGGAACTTTGTCACCCGGCCAACCTGTTTTTGACCATGATGACATTTGGCAAGGGGTCTCCCAGGGCGGTGCGGAGGGGGAACGTGTGTGTGAAATCTACACCCCTCACAGGTCTCTCCCTAAATGTCTCATATGGTCCCTGCCATGAGGACACACCCCGTTTGCTCCCAGAGGGAGAGGTCCTTTCAGGAAGGACAGTCACATGACAACCTGGCCACAGTCGAGGGTGCTGGCCCGGACCCCGCCCAGGGACGTGCTCGAGCAGCAGGCAGGGCGCCCAGCCTGCCAGCACGGCCCGCCGGGGACCTTGGGGGCTGCGATGGGGGCAGTCGGGCCCATCCCCAGGCAAACATGGAGGGGAGAGTCGCTTTTCTGGCAAAACAGATTTTACCAAAATCACTCGGAGAAGAACGGGAACATCTGAGCCGTCCGACTTCCGTGATCGGAGACCTGCCTTTGGGAAATTCCAGCCCAACTGAACTTTATTTACTATTTAAGTAGATATTTCAATCTCGTGTAAACTTTTCTAGGCCACGAGAGAAGATGGAAAACATCCTTTAATTCACGAAAACGTAACTCCAGAAAGCCAGCACGTGAAAACGACGCCACTTCACACACGCCCACAGATGCAAACGCTCGGGCTAAAACGGGCAAAGAGACCCTCCCCACGAACAGACATGGCGCCGATCGTCGCCGTGACCGCGGAGCAGGTCTGCTCCGCAGTGCAAGGACTATTCAAGGGCAGGCGACCGAGCGGCGTTAAGAAGAAAAACCAGCGAAGGAGACGGACGCGGAGAACTCGGGGAGGTGATCAGAGGACCAGAGCCCCTCACTCAGTCCTCCCCGGGGGGCCCGAGGGAGTCCAGAGAGGGTGCGGGCCTGCGCCGGGGTGAACGGTGGGCGCCAGGCCGGGGAGCACGGGTGCCGGCATGGGGAGGAGGATCCGTCCTGTGCAGGACAGGGAGAGCTCCGGGCGACAGGGAGCATCGTGTCCCGCTGGGGAAGGGGCGGGGCATGCCCTTGGCCGGGGCTGTTTGACGACTGGTCTCAGACGCTGGTCTCAGACGCCCAGCTCAGACCTGCAGACGCGGATGGACGACGGGGAGTTGACGAGGAGGGTGACTGTGAGTGTCCGAGCCCAGCAGGAGAGCAGATCTCAGGGCTGCCGGCGGCAGCGGGACTGTGGCCCCGTGCCGGACGCCCCAAACCAGTAGCTGGCTGGTTCACACACGGCCGAAGCCTGAGAAATTTCATCATGAGACTCCTTATATTTGGACCCTGGGGAGGGAAGGAAATTAGGGCAGGGGACTGTGAGCTATGCAGTCACGTCGCCGAAGGAGGTAAGACTCCCTTAATTTTCTGTAGCTACTATGACTGTCAGGGAACTCAGAAAGGGACCTGTACCTATGACCAGACTCAACATTCAATGTGCGACCCAGGAAGTAATCAACCTTATGTATGTTACAACCCAAATAACTCTCCACTGAAATAGTTTTTGAGATGGGGGCAGCTCTGAGGGACCACAGGGGAGGATGGACAGAGGGACCCATGTTGGCCCAGACGAGAATGGAAAAAATACTAATAAGATAATCCTCGAGTCTGATGCCTGTGCTGCTGTGAGTCAGGGCCAAAGGGAGGGAGGGAGATCCTGAGGCTCTCTCAGCTGGGAAGAAAGTTACAGGACAGAAGAAAAGTATATATGTCCCCATAGTTCCTCATGTGGCCTATGGGCCACTTGGGAGAAAGATACCACCACCAAGAAAAAGGTGTGTTTAAGAAAAGTGGTATCGAGCCGCATCACGCACGTGTGCAATCCACTGGAGTTAATCGTAACCAACCCTTGAACCCCCGCTGGAGTTCCGGAGAGGCGCTGACACTTGGCATTGATGGGACGGGCTAAATCCTTATGTTCAAACTCGTATTCATAGTAAAGGTCCAGCACCAGCCCATTCGGCCCAAGTCTATAAGTCCTGTAGAAGGACTTATGAGAAGGCTCATAAGTCCTTCTACAAGGAAGTAACTGAACCCCTGCCCCATCGCCACAATCAATTAAAAACTTGTTTCTCGGAACGGCGGAAGGAACAGCTCACTCCCTGAATGTCACTTCCTGCTCTGGATGTGGGGGAACCCTAGTGGGAGACAGATGGCCGTGAGAAGCTCCTGAATTGGTTCCCAACCAGACAGTGCCAGATATAACAGCCCCACGTACCTCAAACGATGGTCAATGGATTTTGGAACATCCCATTATAGGACAATACTGCCTGGCCAGAGGCGGAGGGATCCTCAAACACTCAGTCAGAAACTTAATTTGCTCAGGCCAGCGATGTGATAATGCCACCTCCAGACGAAGCGTGTGGCTGGGAAGCAGAAAAGAGAGAGACCCATTGGCCAGATTCCCAGGGCTAACTAAAGCCTGGCATAGCGCAGGCAGGCCCGAGACTGGACGGCCCCGCGTGGGCTCTCCTGGATTTGTGGGAGCACGGCCTATATCTGCCTCCCCACGAATTGGGAAAGAAGCTGTGTTACTGGCAGGATAAAACTATCCTTCTTCCTCTTACCTCTGAAAACAGGGCAACGGCTTGGTCACCTGGTCCCATGACCCCTGCACAGGGCATAAAGAGAACTCCAGATGGGGGGCTGGGAGGGTGAGGAGTGGCCCCCAGAACACAGAATCCAATACTACGGGCCTGCCACTTGGGCAAGAGATGGATCTTGGGGATACCGTACCCCCATTTACATGTTAAACCTAATTATCCGGCTGCAGGCCGTCTAGAGATCATTCCTAAGGTGACCCTCCTGGCACATCGACAGACCCAGACGAGAAACGCCATCAACCAGAGCAGGTTGGCACTAGATTATCATTTAGCGGCAGAAGGAGGCGTATGTGGGAAATTCAATCTCGCCAGCTGCTGTGTACAGATAGAGGACCAGGACCAGGCAGTCGAAGATCTTGTCAAGCAGATGCCAAAGCTGGAGCATGTGCCGTGCAAGCCTGGCACGGGCGAGACCCCGATAGCCTCTTTGGAGGTTGGTTCTCCGCCTTTGGAGGCTGTAAGACCTTCGTTGGAGTAGCGCTCCTCCTTCGGGAAGCCCGCCTCCCTCTGCCTGGCCTGTGGCCTCTTGTTGTCGGGACAATCACCTCCCTCACGGAGGCTACAGTAGAAAGAAAAACGACAGCAAAGGTCTTTGCCCATTGGAGTTGCTGGTCCCTGGCACTGGAAGATCGCGAAGGAGATCGTGAGGTTGATGCCCTATGAGGAATCTAAACGGGCATCAGAAGGGAGGAACAGAGAGGAAATCTGAGGCATTTACATCAAAAAGCTCATCAGCTCCTCGTTCTGCTTCTGTAGATGTGCTTGCTGCGTGCGGGGCTCACGCGCGAGCTGCCTGCACTTCGCTCCACCTGTAACTGTAACTGTTTGTGCCCGTCTAGCCCCGCCCCTTGGAGTACCTTGTATCTTGGCAGATCCGCTTCCTGTAACGATGTGTATCCATTGGTTACCCTTAGCAACTCCCGCCCTTCTCCAGTGTTACTACTTGCGATCTGCATAGCAACTCCCGTTTGTAACAGTTCGCGTTCAAGCTGACCAATCAGCTTGTGTAAAATCCTTGTATATAAGGAATGTCGCCCCCGAGCATGCGACCCGGATCTCCAGAGCGCTGGCTCCTCTGGGACCGGGACCGCGCGTGATAAACCTGAGTTCCCCTTCTCTCTGAGTGACTGCGTGGTTTTTCGCTGGACTGGGTTTGGGATTTTTCTACAACAGAAAGAGATGGAGCGTTTCAAGTCTTCGTTTGGGGGTGCACCAACAATAGAAAAACAAAACAGCTCTGAGGGTCACCCGTGTTTACAAAGATTTGACTCTTCCCGCCCGGCTGAGTGCTGTGACCGCCACTGTCTTAGATGGGGACTCTGAGGCAGAGCTTGCCCACAGTCAGACAACTAGCTGCCCAGGCCACTAGGCTCTGGTTTGGGTTCCTGACCCCTCACCTGCCCACGTACCTGTGGCAGGTGAAGACAGCGCAGTGCATTTGGGAGAGCCACTGCTCACCCCCGGCCATGGCCGTTTTCTCCCTGTGTCCGTGAGCGGCTCGCCAGGCCCGCGCAGCAGAGGGTGGGCGGCGGGCGTGCCGGGTCCTGGAGCTGTGTGGGCGAGGCCACCTGCCCTGCCCTGGGTCTTCAGGTCTCAGGACACTGAGACAAGGGGCTGTGCACGGAGACAAACGGGTGCCGGCCATGGGGGCACTTCCGGGGGCGTGGGGGTTGACAGTGACCCCTGCTCTGGTTTCACCCAGACTCCCCGTTTGCTAGACGCCTCCTCCAGAGGCCCCCAAAGCACAGACACAGCTCCCGAGCCTGTGAGCCACGGCATCCCCAAGCTCATGCTGACAGACGCAGGGAGTGGGCCTGGGGGTGAAGCGCCTGGCCGGGGGCTCCCGGACGTTGCTGTCCATGGGGTTGTTGGAAGATGGCAGCACAGACGGGGGGAGGCGCCCTGGGCCCTGAGCCCCGCACGTGGAGGCTGAGCCACGAGGGTGGCCAGAGCCCGGGCAGGGGCCACCCGCGCCTTGGGCCCAGTGGCACAGGGACCTGGGGACTGAGCAGGAGGCTCGCGCCTGGGGCGGAGGACTCTCCCTAACCGCGAAGGCCTCCCTGACCGGTGAGTGGCCGCCCCGGAGGAGCCGGTACGGCTGCCAGCGGCGGGTCTGCCCGAGGGGTCAGCG